ATTTCTTGTTCCTGTTACATAACTAAAAATGGGGCTATTCATGGTTTTTTAAAACCTTGGGAGTTTTAACATGCTAAGGGTAAAGAAATAGCAAAAGCTTGTGTTTAGACATTTCTAAGTACTTAACAATAAAATTGGAAATAACATGGAATAGTGAGAATTAATTCTACCAGCCTTTCAAAACATGTTGGGATTCTTAAGGGATTTTCTGTTGCCAAAAAGCAAATTTTTTAAAAATTTAATAAAGAACTTAGATTCTCTTTGAAACTCATAGGTCCAAGGATATTAAAGGATATGTCAAATAGTTGGATGAAATGTTAAAGTCTACCTTTGAAGGGTGGGTGATGTGTTTTTAACGTAACATGCACAAAAAATCCTTGCCAGTTTACTTCTGCAGTTTAATTTTGGCCTTTACTAATTATCCACTTTTGCTTAATTCCAACTTTTAAAACTAACAGCAACTACACAAAACATTACGTGTACAATGGAATCCCTAATTATTTCCTGTCAATGATAGTTTTTTTCCATAGGTCCTACTTTCTTGGATGTACCAAATTGTAGAAAAGAATATTTTCATTTGATAGCATTTTGAAATAAGAAATTCTTTTGAATAAGCTGCTAGTGATCAATAAATCAGTAACAGCTATTTCCCAGAATATGGCAAACTTTTATTTAAAAGGAATATTTCCACTTACACCTACTGTAAAATTTAAGAACCTTTTTCCCCACCACCATTTTAGCATTTTGTTTAATCTTCTGTTAATCTGCTGTCTGAGGGAAACTTTTTGAAACGTGTTTGTTTTCCAGTTATTTTTTTTTTTTAACCCATTCTTGATAAATTAGGGCTCTGAGAATGACCCTGGTAAGGCTTGAGTTGGCTAGCTGTAGCGTTGATTTGAGTATCCTAAAAAGAATTTTATTTAAAATAAATTTTGTTAATGAGGAAGGTGAATTTCTGGCCACAGAGTACCGCCATCATCTCCTCTAGAGATTTTAAATGGTATGACTCTAAAGAACTTTTAAGGTTGTATCCATTCTCTGAATTCTTTCTGAGAGAGAGAAGTTCCCTCACCCCCTCTTTTTAGAGTGACGGGGATGAGAAAAGGAAGTATACACTATTAAGTGTTATGGCAAGTATTAAGGTTATAAAACAGGAAGAGTACACACAGTTTTTGCCTAGCGTTCACAATGGATCTGTGGTGGCTTTGAACACTAAAATACAACATTACCATGAGTAAAAATTTTGACAAAAGATGCTCATGCTATGTTGTAGAAATCTGCAGGAATACTGCAGAACATTTTTTTTTTTAAGATTTTATTTTTCCTTTTGCTCCCCAAAGCCCCCCAGTACATGGTTGTGTTTTTTTTGTTTTTGTTTTGTTTTGTTTTTAAGATTTTATTTTTTTTCCTTTTTCTCCCCAAAGCCCCCCGGTACATAGTTGTATATTCTTCGTTGTGGGTCCTTCTAGTTGTGGCATGTGGGATGCTGCCTCAGCATGGCTTGATGAGCAATGCCATGTCCATGCGCAGCATCTTAACTGGCGAAACCTTGGGCTGCCGCAGTGCGCGAACTTAACCACTTGGCCACAGGGCTGGCCCCCTGCAGAACTTCTTTTAAAGATCACTTTAGTAATAAAACTGCTTCGTAGAGTCTGGATTATTTTAGATAATTTTCACTAGGATTAGGAGCAGATCTTGTGTACTTTTTCCTCTTGGTCTCATCATAGAGTATGGCTTGGTATAGCTGAAAGCTCAAGTATTGAATGGTAATAAGTTTGAGATTGTATTCCCTGGCAAGGACTGGGAGCTGTTTGTTGAGCTGGGGTTAAAGTGCCTGCCACTCTGTTGCAAGTCCTGTGACTGTCAGGGATTAGGCCAAAATTCTTAGAATCACTAGTCTACAAACAAAATGGTTGTGTGAATTTCTTTAGAGTAATGGTTCTCAAACATCAGCATGCATCAAAATTACCTGAAGCCTTCATGAAAGCGTTGCTGTGTCCCGCTCCTAGGATTTCTGATTTGCTACGTTTAGGGTGAGTCTGGATAATTTGCACTTTTAACAGATTACTAGGTAATGGTGATGTCAAGGGTAGAGGCCACACTTTGAGAATGATTGCTTTACCTATAGCTGAAGAAATGTCTGCTAAGCAGTTGTAATCAGATGCCTGGTTTAGATATTATTGAAGTACTGTTCTTGCTACTGTCCCAAATCTAAAACTAAGGGAAACACTGGAAAATAATCACTATTTGGGGCCCTGTGCAAAGCATCTCTTAAAAGAATCATCAGGGCCAGCCAGGTGGTGCAGCGGTTTAAGTTGGCGCACCCTGCTTTGGCAGCCTGGGGTTCACAGGTTTGGATCCCACGCATGGACCTACCCACCACTTATCAAGCCATGCTGTGGCCGACGTCCTACATAGAAAAGAGAGGAAGATGGCCAAAGATGTTAGCTCAGGGCCAGTCTTCCTCAGCAAAAAGATGATGATTGGCGACAGATGTTAGCTCAGGGCTAATCCTCAAAGAGAAAATCGTCAATGGAAGACACCCTATTTCAATGAGCCGTAGACACTGCTTTCCCAAGTCTATCCTTTATCTTTTGCCCAGAGCATTAAAAAATGTTTTCTGGGCACCTGGTACAGTCAGACGTTTCAAGGAAGAGGGTAGTGGGCCAGAAACAAAGTCTTGGGAATTCTCTATTTTGCCTGGCCAGATGTTTCTTTTCCATTTTGTTTTCCTACTTTGTGCCACTCTTAGTCACAACATAGGAACCAATGAAAAGGCTCGAGAACAGTTAAAGTTTGAATGGCAGAATGGAAATAGCTAACTCTCCTCACTCAGGTACATCTAACTTGCTGGTTGATACATTTTATAGTTGATACTGGGTAGAGCTCAATTAAAGTACTAATTAGGTGGAAGTCTGAAGCTATAAAGAGATAAAGTATGGGGATTAGATTGGAAAAATTCTGGGTGAGAGGACTGTCAGAACATAATAGACAATTTTCTAAAGGACTATATTAACATACTTAGTACTATTACCTTAAGATTTTTAGCCTTGGCCTTTCCTTGAACCTAGTTCTAGCTTTAGAAACTTTTATAATTTTCACACAATTTAGGAACCCTGTAAAGCTAGATGTACAGTAGGGAATATGAAAATGAGGCAACAATCTATGAGGTGTAGACAAAAGTCAATGAACATAATGCCCACCCAGTAGCATATGTAAATTTGGGATGAAAACTACTAGCATTAAATACAGGGTAAATAATGTTTCAACTATGATGTCATTGTGCTTCATACACGGTAGCATTGATGAGGTATTGGTTCTATGGACCTGATCCAAATAGGATATACCAAGAGCAGCAGGAAACGTCTTACCTTTGATTAGAGCAAAAAACTCAAGTTTTGGGCATTGCACATACCTATCAAAAGCAGAACCAATTCCTATTTGCTCAACTTTGTCAGAGTTGTTTAATCAGATGTAGTGGCTTCTCATTGGCTATTTGACTCTTGAGATACAAATGAAAGTGTTTTTTTTCCTTCACTGTAAGTGTTGGCTACAGACGTCAAAAGGCTTCAGCAATTGAATTCCACCTACTTTCTGGGCAGCTACCAAGTCTACCCTTGCTATATGGACTTCCTTTTTTTTGCTCCACTTGTATCAGGATAAGTCCCAGTTTATGCTCACTCTGTGCATTCTTATTTTGTGACGTCATGAGAGCCTGTGGAAAGGGACTGCAATTTAAATGATTATTGGTGTAATGGATAGTGAAACCTTAACGATACCGCCTAATTCATTTTCCTGATTGTGGCTACTTATGCTCACAAGCTGCAAGTGTCTCTCTGACCCATCTCATTTTAACCAGAAGTTGAGCTGCATAAAGCCAGCAGGGAAGGACTTGGCTCAGGCTGGAGAACAGGAATGGCCTTTGCCTTTCAGTATTCCACATGTACATGGGCACACATCACCCTTCTGTAAAAATCTTCACCTATTCCATATCTACACCTTATTTTTTAAATCCTGCTCATCCTGCCTATTCAACCTATACAAATTTGGCCCTCCTTTTAAATCAGACTAGTTTTTGAAGAATAAAATAGACCCAAGATTTACCATCTTAACCATTTTTAAGTGTACGGTTTAGTGGCATTAAATACATTAGTAATGTACTGCCATCACCACCATCCATCTCCAGGACTCTTCATCTTGCAACACTTCATCTTGAACCTATCAAACAATAACTCCCTTTCTGCCCTCACTCTACCGCCTCACAACCATCATTACAATTTCTTTGATTTTGACTACCTCATATAAATGGAGTCATACAATGTTTGTCTTTTTGTGACTGACTTCACTTAATGTACTCGTTTCATCTGTTTTGTAGCATATTGCAGAATTTCCTCTTAAAGGCTCAGTACTACTCTGTTGTACATACTCTAATGTAAATACCACATTTTGCTTTATCCATTCATCCACTGATGGACACTTGGGTTGCTCCTATGTTTTAACTATTGTCAATAATGCTGCTGTAAACAGGGGTGTACAAATATCTCTTTGAGACCCTGCTTTCAATTTTTGGGTATTTATTCAGAAGTGGCATTGCTGAATCATATGGTAATTCTATTTTACATTTCCACCAACAATGCACAAGGGTTCCAATTTATCCACGTCTCACCAACACTTATTTTTTGTTTGATAGTAGCCATCCTAATGGGTGTGAGGTAGTATCTCATTAAGCTTCACTAAAACAACTTTTTTAGGAAAAGATCATGTGAGTTACTGTCTTGTGTATCCTCAGTGTCTAGAATAGTGCAGCCACATAGTAGGCATTCAGAGTTTGTTGGATGCTGCTTAGTCTCCTCACCCGAAGTGTAAACATTTAGAGCAGGGACCATTGCTTATGCCCACAATGTTAGGCCTTTACTCAAGACAGTAATTCTGGGGCACATATTCTGCCCAGCTTCCACATGATAGAAATGAGCATAGGGACAAGGCCATTACCAAAAAACTATAGGGATATAGGTTAGATTTTATTTGAGGTGTAACTTTTTTTCCTGTTTACAAATTCAATTCAAGCTTTCATAGAGAGTTCAGACAATATAAAAATCTGTACAGAAGACAGTAAATCATTCAAAATCTGACCACCTAGAGACACTGCTGTTACAGATACTGCTATTCTATCAGATATTTGCATTTATACCCCCACATGCCTGTGTCTATATATATAATTTTAGAAGCTTATATGTGCTGTTTTGCAGCCTGTTTTAAAAAAAAGTATCATTCCATAACAATGTACATCTTTTTAATAACTAATGTTTCATTCTGTTACAGTGTAATTCATTTAACTAATTCCCTCCTGATAGGCTTTTAGATTTTTTTTGATTGTTTATAATATAGCTATGAATATCCTTACATGTTTTTACATATGTCCAATTTCTTTGGGCGGATTCCTATACGTGAAGCGTTTGAATCAGAAGATCGACATTTTACTTTTTGATAAACCTCACGTCTGTAGGAAGATGGTAGTTTAGTGTGGAAGCCTAGTCACAGTCATCTTGGGCCTTCACGACCATCCTCTCTCTTCTGATTCCTACTTCATCCTCCATCTCAAGTTAGGATTGTTACTATCTGAACCAAACAGATGAATTTCTGCAGTATTTTTAAACTGTGGACCTCTAATAGTCCCATTACAGTGGTTGTCCTCCTCATTGGCAAACTGTTGTTAGCCTTTGCTCTTCTGACAGTGTATTCCATTCATACACCATCGCCACTACCATCCAGGCATAGGATGAACATCATGAACCCCGTTTTGCAAGTGAGCAGAGGGTCCTTGGAAGGAAGGATATCCAGAGGATACCAGGGAAGTACTCTGGGTCCATTAAGCTTTCTCAACTAAATGGTGAACTCACACTGTGAGCTGGGAATTGAAATCTTTGGGTGGGAAAAACAACAAAAACCTTTGAATAGTTCAGACTAAAATAAACCAGGATTTATCAAAGATGATCTTTCAATATTACCAATATACTCAATTAAGTGATTTGTGTTACTAAGTAACAAGTTCAATTCATCTCGTGATTAACTTCTAGAATGTCAGGGTCAACCACATTTTATCTAAACTCCACCTATTTTTATTTTGTCCTCCTCCTGTCCTGTTCATGCCTCTTCCAGCCTCAGGTTGATAGCTTATCTTCCAGGTTCCTTGGATGAATCATACTCCACAGACCTGTAAAACAGCACCATCTCCTTCCAGAGCTGTTTGCTTAGCAGGCAACATAGCCAAACTTTCTCCCAGTTTAGGATCTGTTTCTGCAAATGTGGCGAAAGTTGTTGACCCAGGGCCTATGGCAGAACAACTGTGTTCTTTATTTCTTTGGGGCTTTGGACTGACCCAAAGCAGACCTTCAATGAATGAAATGGCCCTAAAGAGGAGTAGCCCTTTTATGGATTCAAGCCTTCCCACGGAGGGAACTTTTTTTAATGTAGTTTTAGTAGATATTAAAAGCATGTGGTTTTTTAAAGATTCAAATTTTACAAGAGTTAAAAGGTAAATCTCAGTCCCTCATTTTCCTTCTCCAGAGGGAAGAAATTACTAGTTTCTGTGTCCCCTTTCAAATACAGTGCATATATAGTCAAACATCCAAATTTTTTTAAACATACTAAACACTGTACCTTGATTAGTATCACTAAAAATACGTCTTGGGGCTTGCCTATGATGATAGTAAGGAAGCATGGATAAGAGTAATGTATGGGTGACAGTGCATCCAGGATCATGGACTGGGAAATTCTTGGACCATGAGGTCTCACCCTTCTATCTCTGGACAGGGTATTTCCTCTCTTAGCCACAAAAAAGGTTCCATAGGCTGCCTGGGAACCACATATTCATAACTTGCGTCTGTGTGTAAAGGTCTAGCTTCAAAAAGTGTGTGCCTGAACGTGTCTGGGTGCAGGTGCTTGTAGATCAGTTAATATGCTTCTGTTAATTTGTCTTAGTTTATTGTTTCTGTTTATTATGTTTCTGCGTCAGGATCTCTGGATGTGACCCGGTGCATGTCACTGTTAGTGTGCAATGTGTATCACGTTTGCTGTATGTTTCTGGGCGTGTGAGTGCGCTGTCATTATGTAGATGTTCCTGTTCGGTGTCAGTGCGTTTGAAGTAACGGTAGCAGTCCGTAAGAGTCCACGTCCGCGTATCTTGTCAGGGTCTTTTTCACTCACCAGTTCCCCTACTTATGCTTTCCATCATTCTTGAAGGATGGGGGGGGTGTGGGGACACTGGCCGGACCCGACTCAGGACTCCCAGCATAGTGTACCGTCCCGGCCAGGGTACGCAGGAAAGCCCGCTGCGCACGCACATTCCTGCAGCATGGGAGACGAAGAGAAATTTGGGATGGCGCGTTCTCTCGCGCGCTCTCTAGTGGCCTCAGAGGGCAGCGCTGACAGAACGTGAGGGCGGGGCCAACGGCGGCGGAAGTGAAGTCACTTCCGGGCTAGGGTGTTTGTTTGGACTGGAGAAGGGAGGCGGCGGGCGAAGCGCGCGTCGAGCGGGGGAGCGGCGCTGCCTGTGGAGATCCGCGGAGGCCGACCGGATTCGTTGGCTGCCGTCCCCGCTGCCGTGCACTGGGTGAGGGCTTCCCTCGGGCGGAGCGACGAGAAGGGTGCGGCGGCCCTGGCGGTCGAGGGACAGCACCTCGGCGACGACTGAGGGGCCTAGCGGGTCCCCCGGTTGTTGGCCACCAAGCCCCGTATGGCCTCCGGTGTTCCTTACCCCTTTCAGGCGAGTCTGAAGGATGAGCTTGGACCGACTTCGTCTTTTTCTTCTCTGAGAAATGGCCGTCGCTCCTTTTTCTCATTGTCATTATTATTTATGATTTGGATCTCGCAGCTCTCTATCCGGGTCCTCGGTGGCGCGCGAGGGTTGCCGGGAAAGCACTGTCTCGCGTTCCCCCCTCCCTCCAGTTCCTTCAACCCCCGCTCTGGTACCCTTTTTCCCCTGCCCCCCACGGCCACCTCGGCAACAAAGCTCATTGTTTCTCCCCACTTTACGCCTGCGCGTCGCCACGCGCAGCCCCTACTTGCTGCGCGTGCGCGCTCCTCCCGAAGCTGGGGTGGGGGAAGAGAAAGGGGCGGAGGGACTGGCGGGCTGGCGAGCGTCCGAGGGGAGCGTTCTGCAACCGTCCACGGGCCTGTATCTTTCTGATCCCCTTTCTCCCTTTTCTTGGCCCTCACCTACCCCTTATTTTTAGTTGTGTTGTATCCCATGTTCTGGATAGGAGGGCCTTGAGGGTACTGGGAACCCCTGCTCCAGGAGGGTTTTGAGCCAGATGAACTTTAAGGGCCCATCCAGTTCACATTCTTTGATTCTAGGCCTCCTAATCTCTCTGCTTACTCCCCACCATCCCCAAAAGTATATGGCTTGTGGTGAAGTTTGTTTTTTCAAAACATTTGTTGAAGCAGCCAGCAGTGGTATTTTCTAGTGACTCCAAAAAGGCCTTTTCTGCTTCCTTTTGTTGTCTTGTTTCCCCTAATTCCGCAGCCCCATCGCCCCACAGAATCCGCACACTCTGGAAAGAATTTGGCTTCCAATCTGCCGTGGGAGAAGGTCTAACAGCTGACAGCTTTTGACATTTGTTTCAACAGAAGACACATTTCCATTTTGCATGTGCTGGCTGATAACTGTCTTGTACTCTGGGGGCATGATTTCTCACAAACTGCATTCAAGCAGTTAACCAGGTTTTGGTTTGCACTTTCATTAAATTGCCTTTGGAATTTCATCTGCTGCAGGTTATGTTTGCAAATAAGAGAAGGGTCTCCATAAGGAATTTTAATGAGATTCCCAGTGTGTGCTGTTTTTTGCTTCTGTTTCCGTTTTGAGAGAGAGGATATTTGGCACGAATTAGCCTTTTTATGCGACTTGTTAATTGTGAACTTGAACAAAAGTTAGTTTTTTCTCACAAATAAGTGTCTGTGACAAAGATAGGTAACTTTCCAAAAATTACACCCTTTTTCTCTGTTTCCTGAAGGGAAGGGGGTTAGGCACTGTAAACTCTCTGTAATGGTTAAAGGCTTGGGAGCTTGGATGATTTTATTATAGTATATATTACATATTGCTCCTTGAGAGCTCAAATTGAGGTAGGTAATCCCTGCCCTCTTTGGGACAAACATTATAGTAGGCTTTTCCTTCAGTAAGAACTCTGCATCTTCTTCAGGTTTATCCCTTTACAACTCTAGAGAGTGAGGCTCCAGTTTTAATGAAAACATAAACATTTATAAAATGTCCACTGTTAGCACAGGAATTCATGGATATTGTGGGAGATGGAAAAAGGTGGAAAATAAGACCTCTGCTCCCCCACTTTTGTGGTTTTACATATTCTTGTAATTTACAAACTTTTTTCTTTCTTTCTTTCTTTTTTGGTGAGTAAGATTGGCCCTGAGCTAACATCTCTTGCTGGTCTTCCTCTTTTTGCTGGAGGAGAATTGTCCCTAAGCTAAGATCTTTGCCACTCTTCCTCTATTTTGTATGTGGGATGCTGCCACAGCATAGCTTCATGAGTGGTGTGTAGGTCTACACCCAGATCCAAACCTGCAAACCCTGGGCTGCCGAAGCGGAGCATGCACACTTAACCACTACGCCGCTAGGCTGGCCCCAACAAACTATTTTCATATTCATTATAATAACTTGTGAAATAGGCACCGCAAGTTTTATATCGCCCATTTTGAAATTGAGGAAATAAAAGCTTGAGAGATTTATTAGGCACATACTTCTGTAGCACTTAGTAATTCCAGGCATTGTTCTAAATGCTTTTACAAGTATTTAATCTTCACCATCTCTAGGTGGTACTACTGTAAAATGAAGATAACAAATGGCAGATGTGAAGTAACTTGCCCAGTGTTACACAGCTAGTAAGAGCTGGAGTTCAAATCCCAAGTAGTCCAGAGATTATGTGCTCTTAACCATTATCTCATGCTGCCTGTGATTTAATGATGAATTCAAGGTCTTGTAGGTGGTTTGTGGTATGTCTGGGATTCGAACCCAGTCCAAGATTAGAATTGTCCAAGTTATTGCCTTTGTGATCAGCAGCACCCTGCCACACAGGTGCATTAATAGTTTGCATTTGATACATCTAAAGTTGAATTCCAATAACTCAATCTTTTCCTTAATTTGCTCATTGTTTAGAGAGGTGCTGTCCAATAAGGTAGCTACTAAGCACATGTGTCTATCGAGCCTTGAAATGTGGCAAGTGCAACTGAAGAACTAAATTTTTAATTGTATTGAATTTTAAATTTACATAACCACATGTAGGTCGTCGCTACCACATGGGGTGGTGTGGGTTTAAAGGTTAGAATTGCCTCTTCTAATTTTTTTTTATCCGTTTTTATACATAAGGATGGTATTTCTGTATGCTTTAAGCTTTTATCGGTAGAGATGATAGGCAGAGCTGAGCCATCCTTACTCCCACCTAATCACCCTCGTTATACGACAGTTGAGATTAGGGTTATAGTCTGATTGGGGGTTTTCTGTGACATTGTTTCACTCCCACAGGTTTTTGGACCTGTGATTTTTACCTTAGACCTTGCTCTATCAACCTTTAATTGCTCTGTTTAATAAGCACCAAGATAGACAGTACTATTGTGTGCCAGGCTGTCTGCCTAGGTACTGTTATTATTATCCATTTTACAGATGGGGGACCTGAGACACAGAGAGGTTAAATAACTTGCTGATGGTCACACAGCTGGAAAAGCCATCTAATTCCAGAGCCCGTACTTTTAATCATTACTTTATACTGCCACTTATTAAAGCAAAAAATTGAATGCTGCTTGGAAACTTCTGAGTGGATAACAGAGGCTGATGCAAAAATTTTTTTCCTCTCACTGCTGAAGAGACAACTAGTGGGTTAAAATTATATACATATGAATAAGGAAAGGTGGTGTCTAGGAGTCAGAAGAGAACTCTGAATTTTGATGAGAATTCTTAAGAGATGAAACTAGGGGGGAGTTTCTAAAACTTAAATGATATCCATATTTTAAAATTTCATAGAGAATAGAAACAAATGGACACTGCTGGAAACCAGTGTGTGTAAGAGACGTTTCAGGAGGGAAGAAACAACTGAAGATGTGAGTTTGTAGATTGAAAATGCGAGGCATCATTAGTTGGAAAAAACTGCTCTCACCTAACCAGAATCTGGTGAAATTTCTGAATTTAGGTGTTAGGCGCTCATATTAGGCTCTCAGCTAAACAGGATGTTTACAAAAGAAAGAAAATTAGTTTTCTACAACAGTGAAAGCTGGAATATTTGTAGATTATTGACAGAACAGAAGTCTAAATCTGTCCCACTTAATATTGTTCAAATATGAAGGCAAAAGACGTTTTCAGACATCCAGTGACTTAGAAATATATATCCTCAGGTAACTTTTTGAAGAGTAAACCAAAACAAAGATGTCAAGTTAGGGGAATATGATGAATAAAAGACACAATGATAAGCAGTGAATCTAGCAAAATATAAATAATAATGTGAATTTTAAGGGTTCAATTAAAAATTCTTTAAAAAGATATATACTGTAAGAGAAAAAGTTTTAAAAATGATTTTTAAAAATTTTTTAAATTAAAAAGATTTTTAAAAATGATTTTAAAGTGAATTTTTTTAGAAGTACTTTTTAAAAATCTGTTTAAAATAGGAAAATAAACATTACAGGAATAGAATGTGAAAAGTAAATATGATGGAAGACATAAAACCAAACATCAGTCATCAAAAATGTTGATTTCCTATCAGACAGAGTCTCACACTGGGTCAAATAATGTTATAGTAGAGGATTTGAATTCACGACTTTCAGAATTTAACAGATCAAGTAAAAAAAATCAACCATATATGTGTGTGTATATATATATGTGTGTGTGTATACACACACACATCATATTTGTGCCTTAGAAATCACACGTTTTTCTCTTTAGGCTCAAAGAGCAGTGTGCAAAAATCATAGTTGTCTGCAAACAAAAATGTAATAGATCCCCAAAAGTGAAGGTTTTTCTGGCTGCATTTTATAACATAATAAAATAAAACTAGAAATCAGGGCGTCAGAACATACCCAAAAGAACCTTAACCACTTGAAAATTAAGAAAATTATTCTTCTGAATAATCTCTGGCTCCTTGTAAATTAAATAATTTGTAATTACCTAAAATTGATAAGAACTATATTCTGTATAAAAACTTCTAGGGAAAATTTATAGATATAAAATTTTTATTAAGTAAAAAGTTGAAAATAAACACGTTTGTCAACTTGAAAAACAAAGCAACAGATTGGCTGAAATTAAGTAGAAAGGAAGGGAAAATAAAGTGAGAAAACTGAAATTAATAAAAATAAGTAGAAAAGATGGATGAAAGCAAAAGCAAGGGTTTTGTTTATTAAAGTTGAAATTTTTAATAGATAATTCATTCACAACTCAAAAGATGCTACAAAAATATCTCTAGCCACCTAGTTCTTCTCTCTGTAGGCAACCAGCGTTCTCAGTTGTTTTTTAGCAGCTCTTATTGAACTGTAATTCACATACCATGCAATTCACCCATTTAAAGTGTACAGTAGAGTGGTTTTTAGTATATTCACAGAGTTGTGCATCCATCACCACAATTTTAGAAAGTTTTCGTTACTCCAAAAAGAAACCTTGTACCCCTTAGCTGTCATACAATGTATGGTCCTTTGTGACTGACTTCTTTGACTTAGCATAATGTTTTCAGTGTTCATCCATGATACAGCATATATTAAGTATTTCATTTCTTTGTATTGTTGAATAATATTCTATTATATGGACATACCACATTGTATTTATCCATTTATCAGCTGGTAGACCTTTGCATTTTACTCACTTTTTGGCTATTAATAATACTGCTATGAACTTTTGCGTAGACACGTATTTTCTTTTTCTTTTTTCTAAAGATTTTATTTGTCCTTTTTCTCCCCAAAGTCCCCTGGTACATA